CTTGCTCGCAATCGCAATCAAAAGATCATTGACAAAAATGCAGCCTTTAAATACATCAATTGAAAATTGTAAAATAAAGCACTTTGGTTTCCATAGTTAATAAATCATGCTAACCATAAGTCTATTTAAACCCCGATCACTTTACACTCAGCGGATGAAGTAACCACATTTAGAAATAAAGGTAGCAAGCTGGCCTGCATAGGGATAAAAATGAAATAAATCATTGAAAAGTACAACCAGTCAATAGGGAACAAACCCCAAACATATTATCCCATGAGGGTAGAATTTCTGCCCGAAAGCCGATTTTCAAAATATCCGCTCATTTAAAAATGGGGGCCATTTTAGTGCTGATGTTACAGTAATTTAGGTGCAATATGTGATACTGTAATAGCAATATGTTTTAAATGTAAAAAAGTTACATAGGACATTAATAAAGCTAGAAATGTAGATATTAAAGAAACATAGGCAGCCATCTTGAAAAATGGCTGCTTTTACTTTACTTGCTGTAACTCGAAAAGTAGTGGAGCAATTTTGTTAATATTTGGAATGTGAATACTATAAGCATGGCACACTGTCTAATGACACTTTTGGTACAAGGCGGCCATTTTGAAAAATGGCCACCATTTTAACGTATTTAACTATAACTCGAAAAGTAGTGGAGCAATTTTGTTCGTATTTGGTATGTGAATACTATAAGCATGGCACACTGTCTAATGACACTTTTGGTAGGAGGCAGCCATTTTGAAAAATGGTCACCATTTTAACGTATTTTATAATAACTCGAAAAGTAGTGGAGCGATTTTGTGCATATTTGGTATGCATGGCACACTGTCTAATAACACTTTTGGTAGAAGGTGGTCAATTTGAAGGTGGCCATTTTGAAAAATGGCTGCCATTTTTGCTATATACTTTGTTTGTAAAAATGCCAGCCATGGCTGTTCGATGGGATTTGCTACGCTTTGGCGTAGCTGTTGTCTAATTATTAATTTGATGGTATAATTCATTGAATTTTGATTTCAAAGTTTTCGAAATTATCATTCCTTCAATACTGATATAATGTATGATTGTCCTTTTTTCGATATACTCCTCATGTTCTGTATTAAACTCACTTGAAAAATATTACAAAATGACCGCCATTACTCACAGCAAAGTAAATGCCTCTCTACTGGACATTCGCTTGTCAAGTGCAAAAACCCATTAATCAAGCAGCTGCTGCAATGCTATGCAGAAACTGCTCCACAAACAAAATCTTCCTTATTCCAACCCCACCAGATAAGTTCACTCTCTAATTCGTTTTATATCAAAGTAATCTTTCCACCAATTAACACCTCATTATGTTAACATGTTTAAGATCTTTCTTGACCATATTGCACTAATTTTTTTCAATTTTCTTGCATAGTAAATGAGAATTAAAGTGAAAAGTTCAACTTCGTCTGTCTGGAAAGTGTACAAAAATTGAAACTTTAGACGCAAATAACTTGAGATATGTATTTTTTATCATGAATTGAAAGTAACATATAAGAGTAGTTTTCAATTTGGAATAATTACAAAGAAAAATTAGGAACTCATCAAAATGATTGAAAAAGTTATGATGATATTAAAACAGTAGGGTAATATAAAATAGAATGGATACACATTTAACACATCAAACCAAGCACTTCTCGAAAGATTTGAAAGTTGATTTCACTGTAAAACTTCAAATGTCTATTTCTAAAAAATGAAGGTTGATGAGCATAAACTGTTTTCACAATATTAAAGCACAGAATCTCTTCTTTCCCAGTGTCTAAAAATGAAACATGTGAAAAATACATAAGTACAAATATAATGAATTTAAGACATATGAATGTGTAACTTGAGGAATTCAAGAGATTTTCAACATGAATTGTATGTTCATACAGTACGCAAACAATGTTAAAATTTACCAATTAGACATCAGAAAAGTAACAAATATTTGGTATCAAATTAAAGCTAATAAAAATTCCTATAATTCTGAATTAAAAATAAATTGATTGTAAGATGTATAGTGATGAAATCAATGTAAAATGTCAATGCGGTTTAATTAAAACTCTGACCATAGCTTAGCAGTAATTACAGTGAGAGATAAGAGATAAACAACACACAGGCACTGGAAAGTGGTGTAATTAATCACTAATCTTCAGCAGAAGCAGATAAGCTTTGACAAGCGAATGTCCTACTGGTATGTGCTGTGTACTGTTAATATCTTTTTCTGTTTTTATGGAAAACATTGCAAAGAGAGAGGTAGGATTGGCCACTATTATTACATTACTGATGGACAAGGAACATATTGGATTCAACCCTTGGTCCAATTGGATATTAAAACTATACTCTGACTTCAAAGATGAATTGACAGTGTCGATGCTGATGTGAAAATCACACCAATAATTCCAAATATAGCTTTCTATTTTGGAGTTCTAGATAAGGTCGGCGTATGATCTCTATTATGAAGATCATAGTCCTGTGTCTTTATTACTCTTGTCAAGGGTAATTCCCTTAAGGCAATTGTAATAAATGAGTAAACTACTAATTGTAAGAATCTTTCACTCTTCTCTAATATGCATGTAATAGATATTTACTAGACGTTTATGCAAATAAAATAGGAATCCCAGTAAGATTTACATGCAATTGATGGGTTGGCGAAGCAAACTGATGCGTTATTTCAAATTAAGTCAAACAAATACTGACCTTCTCGCTTGTATAGGAAAACAGTATAACTACACGGATTATGAGGATGAACCACTAGGAACATCAAGATGTAAATTTCATTTTGATATTCAACATTATCATCAAAATTGTTTAAAATCTGTAGTATTAAAAATTGGTGAATTTTAATTAAAAGTTTTCAAAATTGAATCAAAATGATATTTATAGCCACAATTTAAAGCTCATTTTTTATATTGAGATAGGGAAGTGTCAGTTGATCTTATTCAACTGCCTTGGAGGTTCCTATTTTTCCTGAAACACAATTAAATAATCCATTGGGTCTAGTTGGGAAATCAAGCATGGCCCTCACTGTCAAACGAATGAAATATTGGCTAACTGTATTTGACAATTGAGTTGATTTTGATTTAGCCCAGCTGATCTCAAATGTCAGAATCTAAGATTCACCTTGCAGTATAAAACATTTTTATTTAAACACAAGTCCAAATTGATTGATAATGGTAAGGTTGGTTTTAAGGTTATTTGGCAATAATTATTCTTGGAAAATGAGAAATTCCTTTTTATTTGAATGAATTTTGACATTTCTGCATCATTATCCTACAATAATATATTGATTAAATGTTTAAAATTCTGTTTTCAGATAATACAATTTTGTTGTATACTTGCATATTGGCTACTTAGACCTGATGAGAATCCATGACCTCTTGAAAATATGACAAATAATTAACAACTGAGCTGCAGGATCGACTGATTTGTCCTCATATAGAATGTATAAGCTTATATGGATAGCTGCCGCTTTAAGTTCACTTAACTTATAGTTAAAGTTCACACGACTTACAGGGACTGCTGTTACATTAAGTTCACATGGCTTATAAGGGCTTGCATTGTTTTTCAATTGCCATTTAATTTGTTCTTTCTCATCACAACTCATGACACTGGGTTGTACTGCTTCCAACATTTACAGCCATGTCTTTCATGGTTTTTTTATCACACTTTTTCAAAGTGCTTGTCTTGCTGATTGGTATTTGGACATCTGGGTGGGCATGCAGGCAGGCAAAATTCCAAGAAAACTAATATGTGTATCCATTCAACTTGAAGTGCAAGAGTAACATATAGTGCCAAGAGTAACATATAGTGCCAAGATCTGATTAGGTTTTGGGCATGCTAGGTAAATGACATGGTGGCCATTTTGAATTTTTCAATAAAAAAGTGAGATATATTCATTGGATGTCTTGTTTTCTTGACCATTCATTAGTCTCTCTAGGTCACCAATTATACTATTGATGACTTCATGCAGTTTTCCCCACTGTTCAGTCATCAACATAGCTATTATTAAACACAGGATTCAACTTCTTATTGCCACAGGCTGATATGAAAAATTCCATATTCACCTTTGTTTTTGACAAAAACACATTTGAGAAATATCAGAAGAGAATCAATTGGGAAAGTAATGAAAAGGAACTATTGTAGTAAACAAATGAATTGCAATGTCATCAGTGGTTGCATGTTTATGGGATGCAAGGAAATTGTACACCTTGATAAGATATATGACATTTACTGTAGTTCATGACTTTTTATAATCACTGTGTTATCGTGATTATAGTCATGGTATCATCATCACAGTTATATAAGAACCACTTATTGGTTTTTCTTCCAATTAATACATATGTTAGATGGTATGTTCTAGGGCAGATTAAATTTTGATGGCCATCTTGAAATTTATAGTGACCATTTTGGATTTCCATGGCTATCATATTGCCATTGCGCTTAATAACTAGTGGTGTTTTGATGATGTGATTTTACTCACATTGTTACTTGTTAGTTTTATTTACTTGTTATTTCTGTCAAAAACAATTTACATATTACATATACCACAGCTTTCTTGTTATTCCATATACCACATTCACGTAATACTAGTGCACTTATGAAAATTAATAAGCTAACGATGAGTTAGATTAATTGGTATCATAACTAAGCTTGTTATGAGACCTTATGTCACTTATATCATGATGTTTACATGGTTTATTGAATTGGGCTTGTGTAGTAATTCCCCATACAGTAAAACCTGTTTAAGTGGAACGCTTTTGGTATCTTCAAATAGTGTTCCAGGTACAAGAGTTCATTGTTAGCTCAACTTTGTCTTACAAAATAGATGCATGTCAATTCATCAGGTCATCTTTATTTACAGATATTGACCCTGCACTTTAAGCGTTAGAATACAACACATAACTATATGAATATATAGTACTAATTGATACAATGTGGATGTATATTATAGGGTAGCCACCGTTTACAAAATTTTTATATTTGCATATTTTCAGTGACAGCCTTGCTTTTGCCTGTGAAAGTGTCATCGCAAGTGTTGCTAACAAGTTAGGGAATCACGAGCGGGCCCCCAACACAATAGCTCAGGATATGAAGGTAAACATATATAAAAATGAATATGGTAGATATTTGAGGAATCCAAAAGTGCAATGACCACCAAGTTCTACTTACTTAATAATTTTGACATTGCCTTAAATGAAGACTCATTAATTAGGAGGCCCTCAAGAAAGGGCCTTCTATAGCTTTTGTAGCTTTATTTATTTATTTTATTATTATTCATTCAGAGCATTTTTCTTCTACTTCCAACTAGCTTTCAACTACCTACTATATGCCCCTACTACACCCGCAAAATGTAATCTGATTTTCGACGCCGTTTCGGTACCAAATTTCGGTGCCGTTTCGGCACCAAATGGACTGACTAGTCCGGTAGCAAATTTTGGTGTCGAAAGGTTTTGGTGCCGAAACGGTGTCGGAACAGTGCTGAATTTTTTCGATGTCGAGACGGCATCGAATTATATTGGCTGTGTAGAAACCTGGGCTGGAATAGGAGGGAAAATATTTTTTATCTAGGTCAAGGACAAAGGTCAAAATCTAGGTCAAATCTAAGTTTTTTTCAAGTTTCTCAACTTTGTCCATATACATCTACAAGTTCCCAGGAGTCCGAATCTGACCTCAGATTTGACCTTTGACCTTTAGTTGACATTCAATGACCTTTTAAAGGTAAGAAAAGTTGATTTTTCCAATAAAGTCTTTAGATTCAAATTTAGGTCAGCCTCATTACAAAAGACCTACTGAGGTCTAAAGAAGTAAAATCTTTCAAGGTCAAAGGTCAAGATCATGAAATTAGGTCACAAACTGCGCTATCTAAGTTTCTCCAAGTTCGAGATTACAAATCAATATTTTTAATTGAAATAAATAATTAATCCTCTAAGGGTTCTACACATATTATAAAAAAATATAATTTTGTCCCAGTTTTGAGATATAAGAGCTCAAAAACTAAAAAGGTCAATTTTTCAAATTTTATAAGGTCAAATTTTAACTTGCTTCAAATTGACCCAACCTTTTTTTTTAAATGATCTACACATTTTTTCAGGAGTTCACATTTAACCTCAGATTTGATATTTGATCTTTAGTTGACCTTCAGTGACCTTCGAAAGGTCAGAAAAGTTTTTTAAATTGAGTCTTTGGATTCAATTTTAGGTCAGCCTAATAACAAAAGGCCTAGTGATGTAAAAAAAAATGTAAAAATGTTAAGGTCAAGGTCATCAAATTAGGTCACAAACTGTGCTATCTAAGTTTCTCCAAGTTCAAGACTACAAATCAATATTTTTATTAATTGAAAGTCAGGATGTACATTCCTCTCAAGGTTCTACACATATTAGTAATTGGCTATTTATTAAAATGTTGTCCAAGTTTTGAGATATAAGAGCTCAAAAACTGAAAAAGGTCAATTTTTCAAAGTTTATAAGGTAACATTTTAACTTGCTTCAAATTCACCCAACTTTTTTTAAAAATCATCTATAACCTCTCAGGAGTTCATATTGAACTTCAGATTTGACATTTGACCTTTGACCTTTAGTTGACCTTCAATGACCTTCGAAAGGTCAAAATGTTGATTTTTCAAATTGAGTTTTTGGATTCAAATCTAGGGTAAGCTTAATTATAAAAGACCTACTGAGGTCTAAAACAATAACATTTTCAAGGTCAAGGGTCAAGGTTATCAAATTAGGTCACAAACTAAGTTTCTCAAAGTTCGAGACTACAAATCAATATTTTTAATCAGAAGTCGAAATATACACATTCCTCTAAGGGTTCTACACATATTAGCAATTGACCATCTGATAGAATTTTGTCCCAGTGTGAGATATAAGAGTTCAAAAGTTGAAAAAAGGTCAATTTCGAAATTTTTCAAGGTCAAATTTAAACTCGCTTCAAATTGACCAAGTCTTTTTTTTTTAATCATCTACAAGTTCTCAGGAGTTCACATCTGACCTAGGATTTGACATTTGACCTTTAGTTGACCTTCAAATTGTCAAAAATGCCATAGAGGGCCTTCGTGAGATTGCTTGCAATCTTGAAAGTCTAGTTTTACAGTACCATACTAAACTCTGAGTCACAGGATTTATTCTGAAAAATAAGTGAAGACATAAATTATTTTACAGAATTGAACATAAGTAGCGTGACAGTATACAACAAACAGTCAAAAAAGAACAAATAAATTGTACACCCAGTCATAGGGAAACAAATCCCAGTTTCCCAAATGGATAAAGAAACAGAGTCTTAATACCCCTTTCCTTTCACATAGAAATCTTAGTTAGGAACAGAATTGAACTCTATATATTCTCTGTTCAATATGGGAAATTGCTCAATTTCTAAGTTTCTAAGCATACCTGTTGATTTAGTACCAGAAATTCAATTTTGGTCCCCTTATACTGGTGAGGAACTGTACATTTTACTTTAGTTCCTATATCCGTTCAGAACCGCTATCGCAATGTTCAATCAGTATGAAAAATGTTGATGACCCCTGGGAAAGGAAGAATGTGAGAATTGCAAAGACAAACAACATTACCATTAGGCATTATTTCCTTCAACAGGCTTCTGCTTTATGTGAACTATTTATGGAGAGGTCCCAAAACGAATTCCCTACTGTGTTATATTGACTAAATAATTGTCAATCTAAAATTGAGAACAGGTAAACTACAATATTGTGCAGTTTATGTCAGCCATCACTTTTGAAATAGCTGTGTCATATATCCCCTTGCTGATTGGTATTGAATTAACATTGTTTTCAGTGTTTTGTAATTGTCATTTAGATTCAGCCTAAATGGATATTCCATTGGTCCAAGCCCATTCTCTGGATACTATATCTAGCAATCCCCTTGCATTATTGCCTTATTAGGTATTTTTATATTGTCATGTATTATCAGAATCTTGGATATTTGAGATTTGTTTTTATTATCATCGGGGTTTCTGGTTACACTCTTAAACCATGTATATCTTTGGATAATTTAAGTTCCCTTCTTCTTATAATTAGTTTAACTTATATTTTCTTCAAAGATGTTTGGAAAATGAACATTGTGTTTTTATTGAAAACAAATTAAAATGGGATGCAGTTAATGATAACAAAGAGTGAAATTCTGCTCTAAGGCCTGATGTGAAAAAGTCAGTCTACCCTTATGGTGATTAAACCCATGACCCCTTGCTTTTCGGATGAGTGCTCTACCACTGAGCTATGGAGCCTAAGGAGAAATAGTATAAGTAAATGAAAACACTGAATGAAATTATGCGCTTAGGGCTGATGTGAAAAAAGCCAGTCTACCCAAGTAAGGATTGAGCCTAAAGGATGAATAATAAAAACAAATAAAGAATAAAGCATCTAAATCCTCCATGAGACAATAACGCAGATGCGAGTAGGTAGTTACCAGTTTCACCACCAGGTGGCTCGTTCGGGTCAGATAGCATGGCGGGTATAGTAGAAAGTTCCCTTTAACTTAAATTGCATCTGTTTTAGTGGTTCAATTTTCATATAACTTTTATTTATCTAATAGTTATGCAAATCAAAATATGTCCAGTAAATGAAAATGTTATCTGACCAATACAGGAAAAGATATTTCACTTTTTGTGATTTTGTAACACGGGATCTATGGAGAATCAACCCGAACTAGAAGTCGCACTTTCAAAAATAATTAAATTTTCAAACTTGATAAACAATTTTCGAAACCATATTTCAAGATGTACTTTTACTTGTAGATTTCAAATATAACATCGCTTTGACTGAATTTTGAATATTTAATGGTGTAAATCAAGATTTTTTCTACTCGCATCTAGTCTATTATCATAAGGAGAACAGATTCCAAATATCCCAAAACCATGATATTATGCTCCAATGTTTTGGACCCCCTCGTTACCATTCCGGAATTCAGCCACTTGGATTGACTGGTTTAAAGGACAAAAATTCAACTAAGGCCTTGTGAATTTATCATGACTGGGCTAGATGTTATAGACAATAATGCCAAATTTTAAAAAGCTCGTATTAAAAGTTCCCAGTTCAAAATTTAGTTCGTATAGATTATGATATGTTTGACATTTATATTTCATGAAACAGTGTAGCAATTACTGTAGATATTGTGGGAGTAGAACGTATTATTTTTAATCAATTGCAATTGTTTTTTGATGAAATAGCTTGAGGTGTCAGATGTATACTGATGTGTTTGACATTTCATTTACAATTTTGTTTCAGGTATAATTGTAATCCAGTGCTCTCCCCACATTGAAATCTCTGAGGCACAGCACCTCCATGTATTTTATAAAACCAAAATGCTCCTCGGTGCATTAGATGTGCCTCCTAAATGTTACAATAAAATACAAAAAAGTGGTGTCATATTGTTATGTTTTTTTGTGGCGGCGGTTTGCAATCGGCGCTTGGTGGGCAGCAGTTGGAGTCTGTGACAACTTCTTCCAACAACAAATATTGTTGACTGACCTTCAATGACCTTGTTCAGGTAAAAAAAGGTCAAAAAGGTCTTTTCTCAACTTGCTTCAAATTCACCAATTTTTTTCAAAATCATCTACATGTTCTCAAAAGTTCAAATCTGACTATAGATTTGATCTTCAATAACATTATTGTCAAGGTCAAAAAGGTATTTTCTCAACTTACAACGAATTTTTTTCAAAATCATCTACAATCTCTTCACCTTTAATGACCATCTCATGGTCAAATAAGGTATTTTTCAAAATTGTTCTCAGAAATTCAAATCTGACCTAAGATTGAACTAATAATATCGAAAGCAACTAGATATCAGATGATATATGATAAGATATGGTATAAGATGGTGACATTTTGTCATGATAATGCCTTGTGATCAACTTGTCCCTTAATAATTTCAACATCCAAAGTACCACTTTTATGAAAATACCAGGTTTGACATATTTTGGAAAAAACACTGTGGTTTATTTCATTTCATAGCACATCGTGACATGATTACAAAATATAATTGAGCAATTTAATATAAAATATGACCTTATCTTGTCTTATCTCTTGTCAAATCTGTTTCACAATTTTTAGTGTGATAATATGTTGTGCATGCTCAGGGTAT